ATAACCGGTTAGAACCGCTCTCCTTTAATTATTAAATTATATTCCAAGTCTAAAAGAAAGAAAGCGAGAGAGAGAGGGGGGAAAATCCCAGTTCAGCTATATCCACTGATCTTTTTAGCTTTTGATCATATAAATTGAAGCTCAGTTTTTTTTTTGTGCTCTGACTGTTCATTCCTGGTTGTTTTACACCTCAGACACTCATTCTGTCAGGATGATAACACTCTCACTAAAGCTTGGTTATATACGTAGAATGTAAGGTAAAGCGAAGTTTGCCTCGTGTCAGATGAATGCCACATGAATGTAGTGTACTTGCTCTTTTTTCCAGTTAGTCATTGGTCATGGTCAAACAGAGGAGGTATTGTTGAAATCTGAAATTGATTGTCTTCCACAAGACACATGACACGGTGCTGCGTGTTGCTGCTACCGATTTTACAAAAAGCGAAACTCCCATGTCAGTTTATTTTAGAGCAAATGTTTTTATTTCACTTGCAAAGATCAGACTTCTCATTTTTTTTCTCTCCTGTTTTTTTGTTTCTCTCTGTCTTTCTCTGTCTATCCTCTACCGTCCTGGATGTAATCAACGATGGAAGGCATTTTGTGGGAGACTCTTCTTATGTCTTGTTCAAAAACCCTTTGAGTTGAGAAGACAAGACAAATCCACATTCTGGTTCCCATCACGTCGCTATATGCTAGCATCTCTCCAGAAACAACCACATTTTGACCAGAATTTCCTTTGATACCCGAAGGTTCAAGACGAACCTGGTTTTTGCCTCAATGGAGTATTTCATGACGAAAAGGAGAAACCATAGAGGTAGAAGTTACCTCTGCATCAGCTGGGAAATAGCCTAGCTCAGGTCAGCACAGTGCTGCCAGCTCCTCCCTGATTGGTCCTTACCCCCCGTGCTCCCACTTTCTTAGTTTTCTGTCCCGCAAACCGCTCTTAAGCCACCTGCCATGTCGTCGGTCCGCTTCACCGTGACGCCCACCAAGGCCGAGGACCTCCCGGGGATGTCCGACACGTCGCCCGACATCAGCTCCCGTCCGTCTGCCCATGTTCGCTTCGGCTCCAGGGAGAGCGTGAATCGCAGCGACCCAGTGAGCGAGGGGTCCGCAGGTGGGACGACGTTTGGAGGAATGGGAGGGAACGAAACGCCGGACCGCAGCAGCATAGACCAAGGTGAAACACACACACTCATTCTCACAGGCGTAGTGGAGTGCTAAATATTTAAACATTGTGATTATAATTTAGCAATCATCTTGCATGCTTATTATCTCACATAAACATGTGCATGAAAATATATATTTTTTTGTGTACATGCAAAATTCTTTGTGTGGAGGAAAGCTCCAATCTCAAGGTTGACATTTCAGCTGTAAAATGACCCCAACATCCCATCAGAGCTGCAGTTGAATAGTTTAGATCAAAACATATTTATGTGTTAGAACGGCCCACTCAAAGTACAGACCTTGATTCAACTGAGCCTCCAGGGTAAACCTGGAAATTATTTTGACAATTTTTCTCATTTTCATGAGGTACTAAAGGGGGCAGTATTGGGTAAAGTCAACTTTGTCATCATGTTATTCCTTCATCAGAAACATACCTGAAGTGTTGTTCTGATTCCTTCAAACTTGTTTGAGCAACCATTCAGCTGTGTAAAAAAACGGCTGGGTGGATCTAGCGCCGCATTCGAGGACAAAGCTCCTCCCCTGCAGTTTCCGAGCCTCACAGAGCAGCCCGTGATTCCCCACTCAGCTCCTTCAGACTAGCCATCAGCAAAGTAGACTAGTCCGTTTGCAAACATATTAGCAAACACCTGGTGGAACTGTGGATCTGTTGAGGTCATCATAGTTGCTGCTTCTCAGTGAAACGCTGGTAAAAACGTTGTTAAAGGGTTAATAGAGAAGCCCTGTTGTGTTGACTTCCTGAAGGCGGAGTTTCAGAAAGAGCAGGAGTTTCTTAAAGAGATAGATGCCCAATTTTAAGGAATTAAATAAGGACGTAAAATTTCTTTTAAGTCATATTTGACATAACACATTTTTATAAGAACTGACATTAACACAGGGACTTGATTGTGCTATAAAATGGCATTGTGTGCTTGGAAAATGCATAATACTGGCCTATTAAATTCTTATTTTTGCATCAAAATTGTGAAACAAGCAGTAAATCATGTGATTTTCTATATTCTTTCAATCTTTTGGGAAAAACAGGTGTTGATTTTGCATAGAGATCTCTATTCTAAAACTTAAAAGGGACCAGTTAATGTTTTTAAAAACAGGACCAGTTATATGTTTTAAGCTCTGGTTTGCATACTCTTTTTATGTTTATCTTTATTTTTCAAATCCTAAAAAATGCTTTAAAAATGCCAAGAAATTTCCTAAAGCTCTTTAAAATGTTTTTCTTTTTTAAAAAGTCTTGTGACATTTACAGCTCTGAACAAGTTTTATTTGGTTGTCCTTGGATTAAAATTTCTCAGGTCAAACTTATTCACTCAATGGTTGGGTCTGATCGGGCTCAGGCTTCTGTGGCATGTTAGGATTAAATGCATGATATAAAGTTATGTCAATCTACTTATTATAGCATAAATAAAGGATGAGATAGTTTTCTTTGTTGAGAAAAGAAAGAAATCAAGGTGCAGAATTTCATTAGCACAGCTAATGTAACAAGCACAGCGCACTGCACAATACTCTCTGCCTTTTTCCACTCCTATCAATCACACACCCCAGATGATTTGCACTCGACTCACTCTGCAGTCACAACAAGCGACAAAATGGAGCTGGAAGTCATTGAACGAAAGCTAAAAAAAGGAGAAGTTGCACCTCACTCAAATTATAGCCTAAAAATAAAAGCTGTCAAATCTTAATAAAAATAATATGTCAGGCTTTCTTCGAGCCCAGGCTTTCAATTAACGTTAATTAGTCCGGTCAGATCGGACTCACCGATAAATGCCACTCTCCTATGTGGCCTCACTGGGATTTTATTTACTCCAGATCGGTCACACTAAGCAGCCCGGTTGGTAAAATTCATGGGAGCTTTTTCCCCTCCCTTACTCTATTTCAGAGAGTAGGTTGAAAAAGTAATTTTGTAAGAATAGTGTAGTCATGAGGACGATTCACAAGTGGTACACTGGCTCAGTGAGATGTAACTGTATTAGCCCACTGATCCACTTAAGCACTCGCGTTGTTATGAGGATGCCCCGCACTGTTTAATAAGCTTCCATAAATAGACATTGAGACGGTTAATCCGTTTCGATCGGGCCGCTGCGACACTACAGCCTGTCCATATTTCTGTCTCTATGTGTCCCAAAATAAAAGAAGAAGAAAATTGCTGACAGGTGGCGCTACTGAAGCAACTGAGTCAGGTTCCTGAAGTAATGACGGGAGAAGTCAGAGCGAATGGGAGCAGCTATTTCCTCTACGAGTCATTATTTTTGACACCATTACAGTACTGGGCGGAGGAGCCCTTCTGTTGGGAACGCTTTCAGAGACAAACAGCCGTTTTCCCCTCGGGTTCACCCACACGTGGTCTAGCAGCTGTGGCTCTGAGCAGACAGTAGTAGAGAATTGAAAAAATTAATTCTGCTCCGTTACACTTTCATCAATTTTAACACAGCGGATAGTGACTGTCATCACTTGTAGTATCTCAGATGGAGCATCACACAAAGTGTCTTGTGTTATTTAGCTTAAAAAACATCCCTACAAGATGTTGTCACATTTGATGGGGGAAAAAGAAAAGTGGAAAAGTAGAGGTGCACTCGGTCCATTTCTTTTTTTTTTTTTTTTTTTTGCAGATGCAGCTACAATGTTTAACCAATTCCTCCTTTTAGCCACAGAAACTCCTCAACACACTGAACCTGTTGACCTCCTTCCTGCTGTCCTCTTGCTCCTCAGCATGAGCCACTGCTGGTGAATAAACATTTACTAGTATTTGCTCACGTTCCACCTTCAGAATTGATCAATTTTTTGTCACCAATACCAGCATGGTCACACATCTATTGACATTCACCAGCCGTGACATTGATAACATAACATCAATAGCCTGTCAAGCACATTGAAGACCAATAAGGTCCATAATCTGACTCTTAGCTTGGCCAATATATGTTTCCAGGCAGTATCAGTTGGTTACTTTCAGCTCTTCCTGACCCTAATAGTTTCTGAATGATATCAGAGTTAAAACTGAAATACAAAAACAAAAAACAAAAAAAAAACAAACGTCTAAATATCTGGTTCTCAATTTTAGATTTCAAATTAGTGCATTTCATTCAAACTTTTTTTTTGAGACATTTCCTGTTGTTCTTGCCATCTGTTGTAGTTCTGAATTTAGTGTTGTTACGGCTTAATAAAACTACAACACCTATGAATCTGATGGTTGAGCAAGCAGTCGTGTCAGAGGATTTCATCGCAGGACATGCAGTTTGTGTCGTAACCAGTTCTTCTTTGCGATGAAGAACTGGTGTGATCAGGCTGCAGCTCTGTGAGCCTGACTCGGTAGATGCAGTCTGAGAAACGTAGATGAATCTCTGAACCCGGACCGTCCTGTTGAGCAGGTTTGCTTGCCAGGAATGCTCCCAAGTCTCAAAACTTTTTTTTTTTTCTCACACAGTCAGAACCCTGATGTTTTGTCTGTATTCAACCAAAACACACGCATTGCTTGGTTTGCACCTAATGTTGCAGTGTTGTTTTCTGTAATGCGAAAAGACTCGTGCTGAATACCAGCTGCACTTTCCAGCACCTCTATGTGACCCAAAGTGCATGCGGGCGATTGCTGGGCGTTAGCTTGGGGAAGCAAAGAGGGAAGTGATGGTGCTGAGTCAAGCGCTGCTGATGGTGCAGGGATGAGTGCTGATGGCTCTGGGAAGGGATTCGGTGACAGCGTTTCATTGGACTGTGCTGCATAAATCCGTACAGCTTGACCTCGATGAATCAAAATGACAGCGATCTCGACTCTGTGTGCTCATATTAAAGTTCCGGTCTTGTGTTTGTGTGTTCTCTTTTCTTGCTGTTCAGGGGATGGGAACTCTAAGATCTCCAGTGTTTACATCAACAACAGTCATGGGATGGATGACGACGAATTTTTCGACAGGAACTTGGCCTTATTTGAGGTTTGACAGACAAACTGATTATCTCTGTTGTTTTATGTTAAACATTCTAAGTTTTTTCTGCAACATTTTGTCTTGTAGCACCGATGGTGACAAAAATCTCTGTGCTTGTGTGTGGTATTTTTTTTTTTCTGTCTGCCAAACTTGCACTAAAAAGCTGCATGGTAGGTGCAGCTAATTTTAGCTTGTATAGATTACCAGCTTTTCTGGAAATGTCTCTAACCTTTTTCTGGTATAGTATTCCATAACATACTTAACAGTCAGGTTTTTTCTTCCTCTTGATTGTTTAACGCCCATCCTCTTCTCTTTCTCTCTTTATCTTCCTGCTTTTGACTTTGATCCTTTCTTTGTTCCCGACTCATCGCTGTCTTTTCATGTCCCCACCACTGTTATCGCCCCATTCTCACCTGTGACATCTCCAACTATTGTTCGATGACCAACAGGAGGAGATGGACACTAGGCCGAAGGTGTCTTCTCTGCTCAACCGCCTGGCTAACTACACCAACCTGACGCAGGGAGCAAAGGAACATGAGGAGGCTGAGATCATCGGGGAGAAGAAGAAAGCCAGCAAGGTGCGAATGCTACAAATCATCTTGAAAATTAAAGTTTACTGTGAAATAATAGCACAATAAAGCTTTTCTAATACAAATTACATGCAATGTGACTGAATTTGCTTGAAGAAATGGTGGAAAGCAGCGGGGATCCCTTTTAGAATGAGCTCATCCTCTCTGCGTTGCTCATCGAGTTGTTGTCTAGACAAATCATATCTACGACTCAAAGGGCGTTGAGACCTGAACTCGGTACACTGCAGCACTCAATGATAAGCTGCATCCATCCAAGACAAGACGATCTGTGTGGCCATTCATAGTATGTCCATCTTGGATTGACATGTCTTTACACCAGACAGTAGGAAGTGGGTTGGGGTCAGGGGGAGTTCAACCAAAATCATTTTAATCTTCCTTTCTGGTTCTGCAGTGAGTTCAGTACAAGCATCACCAAAATATTGCCACACCACTTGGAGATTAGCTTGTAACCAGGCCAAATTAAAGACATGAAAATAAGAGCATGCTCTCATTCTTTTTTTTTTTTTTAAAGTGAAACTAGACAGTTTGAATTTGAACACACCTGGAAAAACTTTCCTTTTGCACTCAGCATTGAACCTGCTTTCATTTAGGACCAAGAGATTAAAATAAAGGATAAATTCCAAACGGATACTTTGTCTCTGTTTCAGTCGCCGCACAGATGGGGACGTTCATGGGTGTTTACCTCCCTTGCCTTCAAAACATCTTCGGAGTCATCCTGTTCCTGAGGTTGACTTGGGTGGTGGGAACCGCCGGGGTGCTGCAGGCCCTCTGCATCGTCTTCATATGCTGCTGCTGCGTCAGTATTTCTGTGTCGGCATGCGTTCATGGAGACTATTGCAACATTTCCAGTAACATTTTGTGGGTCTGTTTCTGCTCTCCAGACGTTGCTGACTGCGATTTCAATGAGCGCGATCGCCACCAATGGAGTTGTGCCAGGTATTCCCTTTAGTTCTCTTCCCAATCTGAAGGGATTTTTGTCATTTCTGTGCTGCTTGTCTGCTCTGTGTTCATAAATTAAAACCTAGTTAGAATAAATGCCTTCCATTGACTTATCTTTCAACAGTGTGTGTAGATTGGTGTATTAAATAAAATGTTGAAGTAATGTGATTTTTCTCATGCCTGTAGCATCTTCACATTTTGAAAAAAATAAAAGTAGATCAAATGTAACCTGGATAATATGCAGCTTGAGTTTATCTACTCTGCACTGCCGTAAGAGCTTTTAGTTCTCATGCTCACTCTGTTCCCATGTTTATTATGGGTGATTCAAAGGATTATATATAAAAAGTTTGGCTTTCCAAAAAACACTCGGCGCCAGAAATTATTCAGTTATCCTTCTAAGTGCAGACAGAAGGATCTTTTTATGTATGCTGTCACTGTCTTGACATTATTCCTCATTCGAGGTACTTTCTTTACGGCTTTGATGTAGTTTTATGGCAAATGCAAATAAATATGCGCCCGGATACATTACAGGATTAATGCTGCTTTACAGTTGTACTCAGAACTGGGAGATTCCTACTTCCCAATCATAAAAAATCAACTGGAATGTCCTTTGAAGTCAGATTTCCTACTGGAAAACTGGGAGCAAATCCCCAGTAACAACTTGTAAGACGTGTTATGCATTACAATATGGCTGCCTCTCGCATCAGCAGTAAGCTGTGGTTAAAACATGTATTTACAAGACACGTGTAAAAGAGTGACTAAGTCTAGTTAGAAGTTGGAATTTCAACATGGCGATTCCCGTAGACATCGTGTGCAAAACCTCTTGCAATACTCTATTTACATGCGTGTCTTGTAAAGTAACCATGTTTGTTGATGCTAGGAGCAGCCATATTGAAACACAAAGTCGGCCTTGAAAGTTTTAACTAGGGGTTTTGTATATGGAAGTCCGACTTCAGAGGGCGTTCCAGTTGAATTTTCCAACTAAGAAGTTTGAATTTCCCAGTTCTGAGTAAAACTGTGTGAGCACAACTATATCTGAGACATATAGTTGAACCTTGTGGCATCACATAACTTCACCAATGTTAAAACCTATGTTTACCTTAGTACCACCTACTGGCCATGCCTCATCCCTGGGTAGGCCACTCCAATGTGTTTCCATTTACCATCCCATCATCTCTAATCTCCCAATCATTCCCAACCTATTGTTTTGGTTCCCAAGAACGCTTTTGTAAAGCTGGATTCTAGGGTTTGTTGTTGCAGAAGTGGTTTCTCTCTTCCTCAAGTGTTGCATAAACATATATCCTCCTACACAGCCAGTTAAGTAAGGTAAAGAATCAATTTCCCCAGGGTTTGGGAAAGGGGTGTGTCAATCTTCACAGCAACAAGGTTTGCAGTTTGAACACCAAACACTGTTTTCCTTTTCTTTTAGTTGTTCAAATTTGTTCTTTATGTGTTTATCATCCTGTACTACTATTGTCCGTTTTACAATTCTATCAGCAAAAATAGAGGTGCTGTTAGTTTTAACCATCTTGATAAGATCAGTCGAGGAACGTAGGCCTTTTTTAGATCTCTAAGAAAATTTCTAAAGTTTGCTGTTAGGGGGACAAAATGTGAAAACACTCAAGCTGCAATTTATACCATAGCTAGAAAATAAGTGGGGAAATAGTTCTTCCTGATCCTACGTTTTCATTTTCTGTATGTGTTGGTGACATATTTAAACTATAAACCTGTAAATTAGTTGATTTTCAATCTGATTTTTTAGTTGAACTAAAAAATGTGTTATTAAACCTTGAGATGACAGAAAGGGTAAGAAATATAAATTATTAAATTAAATTTTGCCTAAAACAAATGAAGTAAACTGCATCTCAATAGTATCTTTTTCTAAAAACACAAAAATACTCATAATGTCATTTTCAGAAATGTTTTTCCCCAAAATACATATTGTCTAATTCCAATATACCCTTGTAACACTGTCTTTTCTAAATGATTTTAAATTCTTCTGCTTATCTTCCATCATTTTTGTCCCCTTCTACACACTGTGGTTCATTTAACTTCCTCCACTATTTGTGTACCCTAACTCTCTACACTCTCTTCCAGCTGGAGGCTCCTACTTCATGATCAGCCGTTCTCTGGGTCCAGAGTTCGGAGGGGCTGTGGGGATCTGCTTCTACCTGGGCACCACCTTCGCTGGGGCCATGTACATCCTGGGAGCCATCGAGATCTTACTGGTAGGGCTTGGCTTCGTTTTTGCGAATCGCCCCACCAGTGTTTGCATTTTTGTCTACATTCCTGAATCATTTGATTGTAGTCTAAAATATTGGTTCTTATATTAACCCCGCTCCCCCCTCCGTCTCCCAGATGTACATTGTTCCTGAGGCGGAAATCTTTAAAGGAGGCGGGGCGGCCATGTTGAACAACATGCGGGTCTACGGCAGCATCTGTCTCCTCCTCATGTCCCTGCTCGTCTTTGTCGGTGTGAAGTATGTCAACAAGCTGGCCTCCATCTTCTTGGCCTGTGTCATCGTCTCCATCGTTTCCATCTACATCGGAGCGTTTGAGTCCGCGTTCAACGAGCGTAATTTTGAGTAAGTGCGCCGACCCAGTTGCGCCCCCTGGGAATTTTAATAGGGTTGGCCAGACCAAGCCAGTAAACATTTTAGGGGGACACAGATAAAAAAAAAAAAAGATCCTTTCCTTTGTTTCCTTCTTTCTTCCTGTCTTTCTTTTTAGTTGATTGTTTTCCATTTGTCTTCATTGAAGTAGATGACTCTGTTTTCTTGCCAGCATTCTTCAAGTGTGGCCCCTCTTGGTGTCACCGCTGACTCTACATTACTAAAATATTCTAATTTATTCCTCATTTTGTCAGATTGTGTAGGGATTCATTGCAAATGGCCGACACAAAGTGGTTCTATGTAAAAAAAACCTTTCAGATGTTCCTTCAACCTCACACCTATGCACCACTTTGCGTTTGTCTGTCTTGTAAACTCCCAATAAAATAAGTTTGTGGTTGCAACGCGACCGTATTATTTGTGAGATTTTCAACCCTGTCCCGTTCACTAGTTGGTGTCGTTATTGACTGCCGGGTCTCGTTTTCAACAGCGTGTGCATGCTGGGGAACAGAACCATCAGCAGTCACGTCGAGTGTAATAAAACCGTCCCGGTGGGAATCAAAGACACAACGTGGAGCTTCGACGGCAACTTCACACTCAGCTACGGTGGGTTGACGCTTCGTCCTCCTTCGAGTCGTTGCGCGTTTTAGCCGTTGGCTTGTGCTAATGTGTCTGAATCTTGCTGTTAGAAAACAGCACAGCTGGACCAGTCATTGTCTCCACCCCTGCGCCAGCTGTGGAGGAGAAAACCACACTTCTTTGGGAAGAATTTTGCCACAGCACTGAACTCAACGCCACCTGTGACGAATACTTCACCTCTAATAACTTCACCAAGATTAAAGGGATTCCTGGTCTGGCCAGTGGATCATTTCAGGTAATATTTGTTCTCGTATTTCCATTTAAAAGAATAATCTAGAATGATTTAACACTTCACCACTGTACACATATCAGCACAAATCAAACTTGATGATAAACAATGGGATAAACGTTGACTGAGAATTGATAAGTAAACCTGGAGTGGCACGCTACGTTCTCCAAAACAACTGTTTTCTGAATTTTCTCCTCCTGTTAGAGAACCTGTGGAGCTCCTACATCAGCAAAGGCGAGGTTCTGGAGAAAAGCTCACTCAGCTCCTCTCACTCGTCACCTCCAGCATCACTGCCTCATCCGTACGTGTTCGCCGACATCACCACCTCCTTCACCCTGCTGGTGGGCATCTTCTTCCCTTCGGTCACAGGTACACATTTGCTGCTCTTGCTCTACAGCTTGGGCCACGTCAGGATCACGAATGTCCTCTAAGAACGTATTGATAAAACTCCCTATTGACCAACTGTTGAAAATGATACCTGTCTATGACAGGTAACATATTCAATTTGATTTAAAAAATATGTAGCATTTTTGTGAACTTTTTATGTAGAAAATTATTGATGTAATTTGGCACTATACCAATAAAAAACTGAATTGATTTAATTGATCAAATCTAGGAAAACATCTACAGGGTGGCATGAGGAGGCAGGGATTTTATTCAGGGGTGGCTCCTATATGTAGGACTGTATATATATATATATATATATATATATATATATATATACATATAATATATATCGTATAAAATAAACAAATGAACACTAAAAGCAGTGAAATCTAATTAAATTTAATGTGTGGTTTTCTTCAGGCCTGTAATTCATGTTAATCAGTCAGATCGAACTTCACACAATGTCTATGGGCTCTGGGCCGTGTTTGGTTGAATTTTTAGACCTCATCTGCTTTCCTCTTCACATTTTTCATATTCTTCATAGCTTACAATGTTTTCAACTGTACTTTGATGTGTAACTTGTTTATTTTTTCGCCTGCACGTTCTTATTTCTTTTTCTTCTGTTTTTATTGTTAGTGAATTGCAGGTGTTTTGTGTTCAGCAAATAAAAGTAACCCAAAAAATATTATTCTCCTTCTCTTCCTCAGGAATCATGGCCGGTTCAAATCGGTCGGGAGATTTGAAAGACGCTCAGCGCTCCATCCCCATCGGAACCATCCTTGCTATCCTCACGACGTCTTTTGTCTGTATCCTTGTATCGTATCATGTCTTAGTTTCCTAACAAGGTTTTGAAGAATCTGTCCTACTTGTAATTCAAATATGTGAAAAAAAAGCCTCAGATTATTTCTGGAAGTCCCTTGGTTGAGAGCTCATAGTTCAGTTTGTGGGTACAAAGCCGTTTGGACTCTTCTGGTGTGAATGTTGTTTTTCTGAGTGGCATCCTTGTAGACCTGAGCAGCGTTGTGTTGTTTGGCGCCTGCATCGACGGCGTCGTCCTCAGAGACAGTCAGTACATCTGCTTCTATCATTCACTTACCTATGAAAACCCAAAAGATATACACTAACTCGCCTGTGCAGGTTCGGAGAGTCAGTTGATGGCACTCTGGTTGTTGGCACGCTGGCCTGGCCGACTCCCTGGGTCATTGTGATTGGCTCCTTCTTCTCAACATGCGGCGCAGGCCTTCAGTCGCTGACCGGCGCACCACGACTCCTGCAGGCCATCGCCAAAGACAATATTATCCCGTTTCTACGGGTAGGAGTCATTCTATTTTCTTTTTCTTTTGTAAGGTGATGAAGCAAGCCTTTACTTCTTTGAGTGGGATTCAATGTCACGTTTTGTTTGAGTTTTGTTTTACAGTTTAGTTTCTTAGTTTAGAGGTGAGCTTTGTAGAGATATTTTAAGGGCTTTCTAGAACTCTGTGAATTCTTTTATTTTAAGCTGAATTTATCTGATAATCAGAGATGGAACTGGTCTAACAAAGGCAATCAAACAAATTATAAACACTTTTTTTTACTTTTTGTCAATCAGATAAAGGCATGTTAGCTAACAGACATGATTAGATTTAAAGGAGCAGTATTATAGAAATTGGAATTTGTTTTCAGCTTTACATCATATTCCAATGTTATGTCACCAAAAATATACCTGGAGAGTTGCTTTGACTCTCATGCATGTTTGAGAAATCCTTTCATCTTCATGACAACCATACAGCTGTGGAAAACAGCTGGGTGGGCCACGCCCTGCCTTCGAGCAATGACATAACCTGTATCAATGAAGGTCAAATAATCATGTTAATGCTAATCTTTAGCTGCGGCTAGCATAAGTAGAGCATTTTTTGGGACATTCACATCATTGTGAAAGAGCAATAAAGTTCAGAATCTTAACAGGCATAAAAGATTTAAGGATTAGAAGCAATTATTTATTCACTAATTAATTCACTAAACAGCATGGGAGTGGACCAGCACCTGGTCACCTGGATCCATAGTTACCTCACCACAGGCCGCAGTATGTCAGGCAAAAGGACACTGTGTCTGACACTGTGGTCAGCAGCACAGGAGCCCCTCAGGGCACAGTGCTGGCCCCTCTTCTCTTCACCCTGTACTCCTGTGACTTCCACTACAACTCGGAGCTGTGTCACATACAGAAGTATGCTGATGACACAGCCATAGTCGGATGTATCAGGGACGACGGAAAGGAGGAATATCGCTGTCTGGTGAGGGACTTTGCTCTCTGGTGCCACACAAACCACCTGGAACTCAACACCTCTAAGACGAAGGAGCTGGTTATAGACTTTGGGATGTCCAGACCAAAGCCGAGACCAGTCGTACTAGAGGGAACGGAGGTTGAGGTCGTGGGCTCCTACAAGTACCTCGGGCTGTGGCTGGACAGTAAACTGGATTGGTCAAAACACACCAGCCACCTGTACGGGAAGGTGCAGAGCAGGATGTACTTCCTGAGGAGACTGCGGTCCTTTAACATCTGCAGCAAACTGCTGTGGATGTTCTACCAGTCAGTGATCGCCAGTGTCCTCTTCTACACCGTGGTGTGCTGGGGAGGCAGCACATCCAAGAAGGACACGTCCAGACTGGACAAACTGATCAGGCGTGCCGGCTCTGTGGTCGGCATGAAGCTGGACTCTCTGGTGACGGTGGCAGAGGCGAGGACACTGAACAAACTGCTGGACATCATGGACGATAGCAGCCACCCTCTACACGCCATCATCAGCAGCCAGAGGAGCCTGTTCAGTGACAGACTGCTGCTTCCCAAGTGCCGGACCAATAGATTCAAGAACTCCTTTGTCCCCCACGCCTTCAGACTGTACAACTCCTCACTGGGGGGTCGGAGGTGACACAGGACAGAGGGAAGAAGGAGGAGTTTTTCTACAAATGTGAACTCCATATTTATCAGGCCAAACCATACAGTGCAATACCATATCACTGGTCAATCTATCCACCAAATTGCTATAATTTCCTTTTGTGTTGTATTATATTCTTTGTTTTGTATTTAATTTGTATTTTTTTGTATTCTTTTGTGTATGCTTACTGTGTGCCACATTTTTGCCTGTGAGCTGCTGGTAACTATAATTTCCTGAGGGAGTCTTCCCAAGGGATCAATAAAGTCAAGTCTAAGTCTAAGTCTAAGTGTAATGCTTAGAGAGCTTATTTAGTCATTTCTTGTGTAAAGTCTTTGGTGTGATCACTGGTTTTTCCTCGCTGAGTGTCTGTGTGTGTTGTGCTCCAGGTGTTTGGACATGGGAAAGCTAACGGCGAACCCACCTGGGCTCTGCTCCTGACGGCACTGATAGCTGAGCTGGGGATTCTCATCGCCTCTCTGGACCTGGTCGCTCCCATCCTCACAATGTGAGCCAATGAGGCCGATCTGAACGGCCGGTCCTGATTGGCTCGGTCGCCCATCCTGTCAGCCAAATCTCTCCCTGTCGGACTCCAGCTTTACTTATCTGTCTCTCCAGGTTCTTCCTGATGTGTTACTTGTTTGTGAACTTGGCCTGCGCTCTGCAGACGCTGCTCAGAACCCCCAAACTGGAGGCCCGCTTCTCCTACTACCACTGGTACTGACAAACACACACACACACACACACCACACACACACACACACACACACACACACACACACACACACATATGCAGACTGAAGTGTTCTTGTGCTCCACATCTGTCCAGGACCTTGTCGTTTCTGGGGATGATCATCTGCCTCGCTCTCATGTTCATATCTTCTTGGTACTACGCAATCGTTGCCATGGTGATCGCTGGCATGATCTACAAATACATTGAATATCATGGGTATGTTGCCATGGTGATGTATTTGCTCCATGCATTTGTATATGTGCAGTATGGTTCGGATCCCTGTGTGTGTGTGTGTGTGTGTGTGTGTGTGTGTGTGTGTGTGTGTGTGTGTGTGTGTGTGTGTGGTGGGTGTGTGTGTGTGTGTGTGGTGTGTGTGTGTGTGTGTGTGTGTGTGTGTGTTTGAAGTAGTTTGATTTGGTCATTTTTTCAGTGGTGGATCCAGAAAATTTTATACGGGAGACCAGAACAGTAAAAATTAATTAAATAAATAATAATAAAACAAAATGAATACATTTATTTAGTATTCAATCATTTGTTTATTTTTTTAGTTGTATCTATTTTGATGTATTTATTTGGAATATTTATTTTAAATGTATTCATTTAGTATTTAATTTTAATAAATTGATTTAGTATTCATTTGTTTAGTAATTTATTTAGTTTTAGTTAATTTAGTATTAATTTGTGTGTTGATTTGTCAAATTTTTATGTATTTATTTTTTATAGTTATGTCTTCATTGAAGATGACGCTGTATGACTTTCTATGACATAAACGTGATTCTCTGGGGATGTGCGGGGGTCATGGGCCCCTCCTTTCCCACCTGTTGGGGGCGCCACTGCATTTTTCTCATTTTCTTTTTTCTGCTTACCGGCGCAAATGTATACTTTTTCTTTATTTCTGTGTGCATTAGAGCTGAGAAGGAGTGGGGAGACGGGATCCGCGGTCTGTCACTCAGTGCTGCCCGCTACGCCCTCCTCAGGCTGGAGGAGGGACCACCACACACCAAGAACTGGAGGTAAGAGCAGAGCACTTTAGGAACTTCTACTTCTTCATGCGTAAATGGAAAAAGATATACACTTAAAGCATTCAAATGGCCACAAATTTATGTAAAATCCAGTTTTATTTCCTTTACTTCCAAGGCCCCAACTGCTGGTGTTGCTAAAACTGGACGAAGACGCCCACGTTAAGTCTCCGCGGCTGCTGACGTTCGCCAGCCAGCTGAAAGCAGGAAAGGGCCTCACCATCGTCGGCACGGTCGTCCCAGGACACTTCCTGCAAACTTACGGAGAGGCTCTTGCTGCAGAACAGGTTCATCTTTACACTCATCACGTCAGTCCGGAGTGATGTCAGCACGTCCAGGGCGGCCATCTTGACTGACGATTGTATAAGGGCCAGACTATGATTTTTTTTTTTCAAGAATAAAGTTGTACTATGAGGAGAAAGAAGTAATTATTTGTCAATAAAACTTCAACACAAAAAAATAACAAAAACATTTTTTTATAAGGAATCCTGTAATATAGTCAAATTAATTAATACTCTCATTGAACAAACAATGAGAATATTGAAAGACAAAGCTAACGATGCTGAAATACAGACAATTTTTGAGGTGTTGGAAATTATTGTGGCGATAAATCAAAATTCTTATCATGATAAATAATCATGGGCCCAGTCCTATGATGTCGCACTGTATTTAACATGAATGCTAACAGCCTCTGGACCGTTTTCTCTCCTCCCTCAGACTTTGAGGCATCTCATGGAGAAGGAACGGGTGAAGGGCTTTGTTCAGTGCATCGTGGCTCAAAAGCCCCGCGAGGGCATCAGTCACATGATCCAGTCAAGCGGCCTGGGAGGAATGAAGCCCAACACGGTGGTGATGGGCTGGCCACACACCTGGAGGCAGAGCGAAGACCCGCAGGCCTGGAAGACCTTCATCAGTGAGTCACAGAGGAGAAGAAACGCAATTATTATTATTTTTCCTCCACTCAAAAGCCCGTCAGCTGACAACCCCCCCCTCCCTTTGTTTCCTGCTTCCAGATACGGTCCGAGTGACCACGGCGGCCCACCTGGCTCTGCTGGTGCCCAAAAACATCTCCCTGTTCCCCAGCAATAGCGAGCCGCCCACCGACGGCTACATAGACGTGTGGTGGATCGTCCACGACGGGGGGATGCTGATGCTGCTGCCGTTTCTCCTTCGCCAACACAAGGTGGGGGAAGGAAGGGCAATGGTTGCCTTTTCATAAAAATGCTACCATTTTTATTAAATGAATCCATTTTCTATGAATATGTTTTCCTGAGGGAGTCCTTTTCTGTCTCCATCCAGGTGTGGCGTAAATGTGGGATGCGAATCTTCACCGTGGCTCAGATGGAGGACAACTCTATTCAGATGAAGAAGGATCTGGCAACATTTCTGTATCACCTTCGTATTGAAGCTGAGGTGGAAGTAGTGGAGATGGTATGTGACCAGCTGGGTCCGAAAGGGCTACAGGGCTCTTGCCCAGGGCCCATGTTTTTGGGGGCATCCAACAATTTTATTTTTTATTTAATTTCTTTTGTGAATTCATGTTTTTTAAACATTGCACACTCTATAAAATCCATATTTACAAATCTTGTCAGTTTAATTATTTTAGAATTTTTATTAATTTAATAATATTCAAATATCTGAGAATGATCAATTTATTGATATTTTGTTTTTCTTTTTGCGCTCTCAATAATGTAAAAAGCATTATAAATAAAGCTGCTATTATTATTCTTCATTATTTAGTAGACTCTTCTACATTCTGAAGTACCTATAGCTCAGCTGTGAGATCATTTTTGTCCTAACCCAACCTTATAAATCTATGAAAGAATTGAAATGTTGATAATCTGTCAAAGTTTCTCATAGATGTGTAATAATCTGAGTGTTTTCATTCCTCTACGTCTCCAGCATAACAGTGACATCAGTGCGTACACCTACGAAAGGACACTGATGATGGAGCAGAGGTCTCAGATGCTCAGACAAATGAGACTCTCTAAATCAGACAGAGAAAAAGAAGTAAGTGTGCAGTGAAAATGTTTTTGTTTTTTTTTGTTTTACACTTGTCGTTTTGAGGGGTGTCTTTATAAAGTGGGGCGAATACAAAGTACTCAGTTTTTGGGTCAAGATTACCAATTTAGGTTGTGAGGCATGATCAGTTTTGCACTTGCTTTCTACTCCACTTAGATTTTTTTATTTCAGGTACCATAAAATAAAAAAAATAAAATGAGAAATACAAAGTAGAAACGTCTACATGCCAGTTATATACCAGACCAGTAGGAGGCACTCTAACTGTACATTGCCTTCCTGAGATGCTAAGTCTCACAGTTGTCAAGATATAAAAATAAAAGGAAAAAAGAATAATCAATGTGATTATTTCAATATTTATCAATAGCATTGCAGTCACATGTTTTTTCGATATCTTGCATCCATATGATGGCATGCACAGTATTTCTGCGTATTTTTAATTTTCTTGAGAACTTTTGTCAGGCAAAAGTTCGAGTCACACTCAGACATCTTCTTTATGTTCTATGACTCCAGACTGTTGAGGCTACCGCTAACTAGCTGCCAATAAATTCTAGCTAGTTAACTAGCTAGCTCTTTGGTGTCCATCTTGGGTAAGCGCAACTTTATCACCAATTGGCTGGACGAAGTTCAGCCATTTCTGTGGAGATACAGGTCTGAAATTCCATTCGGAGTGGTCTTAAAAAGTCTTAAATTTAAGTTTGTGAAACCTGTTGAATCCTTGGGGTCAACAAAAGGGTAAAAAAAAAAGTATGAGGCTCATAATGTAGCAAGTATTTTATTTTTTCCATTTCATATCCTCTCCCTTTGCCTCTGGTTTGCTCAGAGGGTGCGCTGGAGTTTTGACGATGTAAGTTTACCGTGTCTTGCTTTGCCATAGAAAGCTGCCTGAATTTAGATGTAGGCGAAGACCTTCAAACTTCTGAGAGCAGATTTAATTAAACTGATTTCACAAAAACCAGCTGGTTTCAGCCATTATCCCTCAACAGTCGATACAGACTAGATTACTAGCTGCACAAAAGTGTAAATAAAGTTCATGTCATAGTTCCTCTTAATAATTTTACACCATGATCTGTTGTTCTGTAACTTTCCTCTGCTGCTCCTCCCACTGAAGTTCAGAGGTCTTCTGATTTGTATCCTGTCTGGCAGTTAGGCTCCATAACCTGCGTTGTGCTCCTGTAGCTTCCCGATAAAGTAGGTACAGCCTGTGTTTGGTTTTTTTAGCAGGTTAGGTGACCTTGTGTTGTCTTTAGGTGTATCTCTCGCCCAGGTTCAGGAGTACTGAAGGCCACACTTCAAACCCCATCAAAGAAGGCAGAGACAGACAGGTACAAAGAGGCAGAGAGCGAGAAAGAAACGAGAGTTAAGAGTCAGGAGGTTGGTGGCAGAGGAGCGAGGAATCGCATTGGGGGGGGAAAAAAAAAAGGAACGGGCCAGGCTCGAATCAGGGGTTATACGAGCCGAGTCCATGTTTGTTTCCGTATGCAACGCAGGCGCAGTTGGTGAAGGACCGCAACTCCATGCTGCGCCTGACCAGCATCGGGTCAGACGACGAGGACGACACAGACGGCGGCGAGCGGGAGCGGGCAGTGAGCAGCAGCTCCGAGCACCACCGTCGCGTCCAGATGACCTGGACCAAAGAGAAGACGGCCCAGTACAGAGCGGCGCACTCCGGCTGCTCCACGCCCGAAGGCTTCAGAGACATGCTGAGCATCAGGCCGTGAGGACGGATAGCGAAGCACTTCTGTCTGTTGCCAGTGGTTTAGAGAGGTGGATGATTGTGGGATTTTTTTTTGCTTTTCTTTAAGGGACCACTCCAATGTCAGAAGGATGCACACCGCCGTCAAGCTCAACGAAGTCATCGTCAACAAATCCCATGATGCCCGGCTCGTCCTGCTCAACATGCCGGGGCCGCCGAAGAACACGGAAGGAGACGAGAACTGTATCCTTTCTTTCTCCTGGCGCTGTAATTCATTGTTCTCATGAGAGCTGAAATGATTAATGGATTAATTGTAATTAATTGATTTTTGGAAGAATCATTGACTGATGTAGTGATTAATTAATCGTTAACTGGAGAAAACGCATGCGAAAAAAGAAAATTTTCTAAAAAATATAGCTTGCATTTAAGATAAAAGCACCTTCGTCTGTAAATATGTTTTACTCAATACATAAACTTAGCTTCACCAGTTTCATTTCAGGCAAGAAAATGTTTCTTTTTTGTATTTAATTCTTTTTTTTTTTTCATCTTTCAGTGTATTTTGTTCATAAAAGGAGCAAATTGTTCAATGAAAAAAATCTCTTTTCATCCGATTAATCGATTAATCTTCAGAATAATTGATTTACTAGAGTATCGTTAGTTGTAGCCCCACTTCTAATACAGGCTGTAAAGTTTTAACTCATGAACGCAGACATGGAGTTCCTGGAGGTTTTGACTGAAGGACTGGAGCGCGTTCTGTTAGTCCGAGGAGGCGGAAGTGAAGTCATCACCATCTACTCCTGATTGGACAAGACACTGCAAGATACTGTTTAACAAGCAAGCCAGTCATGGAGAAGACGGGAGATGGGTTGGTTCTGTGTGGGCTGCGTGGGATAGACCGTCACTGGCTGCAGCATTGGTTGTCACGTCCACATCCCACCCAACTTTTCATCTGCACTCGTTTTCTACTCCAATTATGTCGACTCCAGGGAACGCCAACGCAGTTCCACGATTGAGCAACAAGAACCCATAGCAATCATGTGTGTGCATGTGTATGTGTGTGTTTGTGGGAATCGCTCACCTGGAAGATCTTTGATAGGTTGAAGGGACCAGCATTTTGTTTGAAGCGGGTGTGTTCAGGCAGTGGCTCAGTTAAAGTAAATGTGATCGGTCTGAAAACAATGCAGTCGTTCCACCAATGAAACTCAGGGTTTGCTTTTTGTACAGAATGTATTTTGGACGTTTGTTAGTTTTCGTGTGAGGCCTAAATGTCTGGAATCAAGAGGAGTATTATTGTTATTGTTTTTATTATTATTTCGGAAGGCACATACATGTTCATTCCAGAATTACACATGGCGTAAAGCAGATTAATCTCATATCATTTTCCATCTGTTGGAACAGATGAACACCAAACTCAGCATTTCATTTTGTAGACATTAAAGCTTGTGATACTGCAACTTTAAAATCAGTGTTATTGCACAAATGTCAGACTTTGCTGCTATTTGTCTGAAACTAATATTGTGTATTAGGAGCTCTGTTTTTGTTTCTTTTTGTTTTTTTTTTAAACCAAATTCAGAATAACTTTCTTTTGGTTTCTTTCATTTATGAACCACAATCTTAAGTTCAATGTAAACTTGAGCACAAATTAAAAATGATGCTTTCAAAAGACACATTATAGTTCATTAATTATGCAATTGTTCTTAACTGTTAATACTGGGTAATAATAAAGTCAATCATGTGAAGCAATATTTCGAATTAACAGAAACGAAGTATTCTTCGGACCTCCAGGAATATTGTTTTAAAGTATAGATGCAAGATCAAATTAATTTTCTTGGGCCAATTATGATGATGGCTAAGTGCACTCTCCCACTGCCCTACACACACACTCGCTTCTGTCAATTTCGTCCCAGCATTTAAAGAACAAAACTTCTTTATGTGAAATAAAAAAAATTAAGAAATTTTCCTAGAGGCACATATCATTATCGATTAATCGTTTAGATGCGAATATCTTTCTGAGGCCGCTTGGTTCGGATGCTAATGTTGCTGTGACGGCATATCTGAGAAGAAGGGCTGCCTTTTTCTTTTTTTAATTTTGTTGTTAAATAGTTATTGATCTCCATGTAAAACCAAAATGTCTATTGAGTTCGCGATGAGAGGTTTTGGACTTGTAGCGAGCCCGGTGGACTGCATGAGAAGAGACGTGTGTCTGTAACTCTTCAGAAACTGTCAGACTCGTTTTCGGTTTGCCTCAGAAAGGCAAGAAACGAACACCGATAATAATAGTGGTCAAGCTTGGACCATTGTGGCACGAACCACCGCACTGCATGTTGGGAAAAGGAGGCATGAATGTGTTGATGTCACATGTCAGATCTCGCTTTGTTCTGTGAAAGAATATCAGCAGTGTGAGAGTCATCATACCCGACAACCATCTCATTCCACACCTCGAAATAACCCCACTCGCGTTCTGCTTTGTGTGTATGCGCACGTGTCTGTATGGAAAATGAATGCCTGTGATTTTATAGTTCAATTTTAGAATATCCCAACTAGAGATGTTTTGTCCCTGTCAATGCTGTTTTTATTTTATTTTTTCATTCTTGTGCAAGGGTTACATTGTGTTGATTTTCATTTCCTGCAAACGACCTCGCTTGTACATAAGGCAGAAGAAGACCTTAAGTTTGATCTTTTTTTAAATTACATTATTATAAAAAATCATGAAAAAAAATGTTGCTTAAAAAAAGGGGAATAAAGCAATTCTAAAGAAATACATTGCTGTCTATTTTTGTTTTTTATGAATCACGGTAATAACTTGGTCTTCTGTGAAATATGTAGTTTATAGTTTCATCCAAATATCATTTTTAAGTCTTGATCTTAAAATGTAAAGTTTCGTTCGAAACTTTACGTTTTAACGTCACGCACAGTCCCACTCTTATTTTGAAACGCTGGCGTACTTCGTCGGCCTAACGACGTCACTTCCTCGAACGCGCATAATCAGGAAGCCGGTGCCATGTTATATTGGTGGAAATTGTGGGCGAAGTTCTGCCTAAAAAGTAGGATTTAACAAAACAAAAACAAACAGAACGTGATTCAGATTCCGGGGGTGAGGATGGAGGTAAGAGTGGTTGGCTTTGAACATATTTCATGCGGAAATATAGGAGTTAATAAACTGTAACACAGGATGTTTGGTCTTCACAATCACAATGATGGCCTTGTTGAGCGGATCAGCTGGTCCGCTCTGATTTATAAGTGTCCCTTTATTGGAAATGCTGTTTCAAAATTCAGCTGAACTGCTTTTACGATTAAAGAGCGAACTTGTAGACATAACTTTTCGTCTTAACTGCTTGTTACCGTCGCTTGAACGCGGTTTAAAAATGACTAAAGTCCCCACCAAGGATCGGCCGGCTTTTAGTAAGTTACCTTATTTGAACTTTTACCGGTCATAACAAACATCTTTTAGATTAGTCACAAAATATGTTAGCTCGGATCCAACGAGGACGTGGATTAATTAATATCCCTGTTTAACTTTCAGATTGTGAAAGCGCTCCGACAAGCGGAATCTGAGAAATATCTTCCTTCTAATTTATTGTCGAGCCACAGTCCGTATGTAGCATTGGGATATCTGGCTCTGGTACCTTCTTAAAGGCGACTTCCGGTTCTTGCTTTCAAAATAAAACGATATATATATATATATATATATATATATATATATATATATATATATATATATATATATATATATTTGGTGCAGAAACGTTTCACATCTTTAAATACTTTTTAATACAGTGAAATATTAAATGAGAAAATCAAATCATATGTGTTAGCTGTGTACGACCCAATGTACACTTAGGCCCAGCACAGGTCTGATTGAAATGATAAGAACCAACTTATGTTAAATGTGACACAATGTACACCGAAAGATCTCAGATTCTTGTCCAATAGGATTCAAGAACAAATAAGAAAACGAGCATGGAACGGGTTGCGGAGCAATTTTTAACTTGTGGGACTCCAGTGAGCCGCACAAATTGAGAAAACATGGAGTGGCTGGCCTCCTGATAATTACTCTGGGAGTGCACTGACTTCTCAACTGAGAGATCATGGAAGAAACCAAAAAGACAAATAAAGGATCCCATGCCTTTCCTGGCTCTTTTAGTTAACAGTAAGACAGAGTGGACAAAAAAAAATCCCCTGCAAAAAGACATATGTTCTGTAATACATCTTGATGAGCCCTAAAGGTTTTGGTGCAGTATTTTGTGAATGGACAAGACAAACATGGAACTTGTTCTATCCATCATACTAATGACACTAATATTCGAGCGTGGTAATGGTAGTGTGATAATCTGTCTCTGGATGGCTTGTAAAAATTGAAGCAATGACATTGTCTGATTTAAGTTTTGTGTCCAAATGGATTGTGATTGGATCTAACAAAGCAGAAACAAAAAGGGATTGTTTTTGAAATGGCCTATTCAAAGTCCTGGCTTGATTTTATGCACAATTTTAAACGGGCTGTTCGTGCTAAAAGAAAGTAAAGTTGATTTGCCAGTTGCCGTGTTGTTTATTTCTCTTTGGACCCATCCTCCCAGTTTTTTTCTTTTCAACATTAATACATTTTTGTTTTCTGATTTCTTTTTGTTTGATCACCATTAGGGAAGCATCGTGCAGAACTGTTGGTGTTTGTTTGTCCAGTTCATGCGGCTCGCTAGAACTGGAATCGAAATAGTCAGATCGACAAATTGGTTCAATTCAATATCAAAAATATGCTACTGATCCTGAAGGTAAATTAAATGTTGAATCTAGTGCATTAAAATCCCAACCCTTAAAGCTAATCATTGTACTAAGCATGTCAGGTTCAAAGTCGCTTAAATCCCTTTTCGTCCCAATTCTTGATGCGGTTTGAATCCCAACAAATGGCTTTCGCTACAGTTATTTGTTTAAATCAACGTAAGCATTTAATTGTAACCAAATAAATTGGCCAAAGAGCGTATCGATTGTTCTGGGGGGAAAAATAAATAAATAAAAGTTATCTTTTTGATTTTATTTTGAAACCTCACATCCGGTTGTGCTTCCGCGTAACTTTACCCTGTCGTCCCGGATCCACGTCTCGGGAATCTATTGAGCATCCTAGCCCGGGCTAACACGTCGCAGACACGGCGGATCGCTCGGTCTTCCTCCGCCTGTCAGACACCTTGAACCGTACCCCCCACATACATACACACACCTCTCGCGGCTACGGTAACGTTTCTCGGTGGATACTCTCGGAGGGAGTCCGAATGAAACGCCCAGGGACGGACGGGCAGACAGACGGGCTCCGGGGCTGGCAGTGGCGGTCCGAGTACCGCAGCCTCGCGGTAGCGGTGTAGCCAGGCTAAAGGGGCTAAAAGCCGCGGTGTGGGACAAGTCAGCAAGAACGACGGTTAACGGCCACGCTAACCCGGCGGCTAGCCTCGCGCGGCGGACCGGTTATTTTTGGCACTGCTGCCGGGGGCGACACATGCCTGGTGCTTCCCCCCGCGGAGCTGTCAGTGCGGACGGAGCGAGCAGATACAACTAGTGCGGCGGCGGGGGGAACTGGTATCCCCATTAGCAGCTACCTGAGGAGGCGTCCACAACATTTCGCTGCAAAACCACACAAAGAGAAGCGACTGGTAAATGCTAAGGCCCAGCTGAAAACATGGACCTCAATTTTTACTCGGATTTAACAGACGGAACCGGGCAGCACGACGCTGATCCAGAGTTCTTGGACCCGCATGCCTTCAATGGATTTGACTCTGACAGCAAGGTGAAAGGAGATAAAACACAGTTCCTGCAGCAGTCAGTAACACTGTCACCTTTTTTTTGGGCTCCTGTTTTTATTATTTTTTACAACCAAAACTAAACACCCAAGTGAAATACTAATATTTTTAGGAATTTTGTTTTTGTTATTGTTTAGCTTTTTTTCAACAACAAAAGCTAACCCATTATTTTTTTTATATCTAGACTGTCCAAGGTTTGGTAGCAGGAAAAATTTCACATGGTGCCATACCTATAGAATTCAACGCGTTTTGTATTATTTCAACATAGAGCAAGTTTTTGTAAGTTGAGCAAATTTTGAGTTATACTACAGATTTCCAACCTGGACTTTAACTGAGCCATCTTAGCACACAAATATGCCTTAATAGAAACTATTGTCACAAATGGCAACAAGACACAAATCGATGTCAGGATGATTTCTGGGTGACAAAAGTCTTCAGTCTCAACTAGCCCCGTTTTTT